AGGGCTGGAGTGATTTGAATTGAGTAATTTGTCTAGTGTGAAAAGAACTGTTCTTGACAACTGTTTACAATTTACCTGAGCTAAAGTGATCTTCAGAGTCAGTCGATGGTGTGATCTATTAAATGTGTTTGTGTGCATTCGACTACCAATGCAAAAGCAAACATGTTAGAACACGTTGAGTTCCAAATACAAATGCAAGTTTACTCAAAGTTTAACATGCAGTTCAGGGCTTCAAATAATTTCCGGGCTGGTGCCAGTCAAGTAGTCCGGTCAAACCTATTTTTGCTCAGACACATTCCATTTTTGGCTGGACAAACATCGATTACGTCTTATCGCTATGAAAGTGCCCCCTCCTCCCTTCACATGGTGTTTAAATATGAAACAAGTAAATTTTCAAAGCATTTATTGTATGTGAGCATCAATCTCAATGCAGGAAAAGTTGAATGCATGGGACAGCAAAATCAGTATCACATTTGTGCGAAAATTTGCAGCGATAGCCGGAAATTTTATGACTATGAATCAGTTATTAAAAGTTCTTGGTCTGGTAGTTAAGTATCCACCTTTTTCCCCTCCTTTTTCACAAACGCCAATAATATCGAACCTTTAAATATTGAAAACTTGAAACTCCAAAGTTTTTCCTTACCAGCGTAAACGACCGGACAAATTGTCCGGCCATCTAAGAATTTGACTGGACAAAACCTATTTTTGACCGGACATTGTCTGTTGACCGGCCGTTATTTGAAGCCCTGCAGTTGATGGTTTGCGTATCTCTGATCGGTACCATTTGTATCATGGTCCATTGACAGTGATTGATCATTGAACAGCTGTTATGGTATTGACTGTTAAATAAGGACTCCTCTAATCCAATTCACTCTCATTTGCTTATAAGGTATATTTATAAATGAACTGGGCAACTTTGTTATGGTCTGATGTGTCTCAAACCTACATTGTAGTNGCCTGCAGTTGACAGTTTGCGTATCTCTGATCGGTACCATTTGTATCATGGTCCATTGACAGTGATTGATCATTGAACAGCTGTTATGGTATTGACTGTTAAATAAGGACTCCTCTAATCTAATTCACTCTCGTTTGCTCATAAGGTATATTTATAAATGAACTGGGCAACTTTGTTATGGTCTGATGTGTCTCAAACCTACATTGTAGTGAAATCATTACTCTAGAGAAATTGTGAAGCAATCATCAACCTGAGAAACTTAAGAGTAGTCAGGGACCTATTATTGATATTAAGTAAATTCACGATGATTCAAATTACTACTTTTGCTTGATTAGGTGTCTGAGGCCTAGCTCTCACACAGAGGACTTTTTTTAAAAGGCAGTTTAGATCTTCACTTTCTAATCAGGAACAGTGGTGCAGCTTTAAATATCAATCATTCACCTGTAAAAGAGATGTTCTAAATTTGTTGCTTGTGCAGCTTATTGCCGTGGTAGTTAACTATGTAAAGGCAACACTAACTAAACTGAATCCACTGGATATTTATGCAGGGTGCTGTGGGAACACCAGGGCAGCAGGGAATTGCAGGAGCCAGGGGACCAAGGGTAAGCATTGAGACTTTTTCACTATATAGCTGGATTGCCCGGAAGTAGTAGGCGGGAAATTCTTCTTTAAGCCATGCCACTCGGTCACAAACAACCACTGCCACTTTACCCTGTGATGTAAAGTAAAACCCCAAGGCTGTCTTTTCTTTCTCTGTGGTTCTGTGCCAGGTCTCTCTACATGTACATCCACCATGTTTTCTTTTTCTCTCCGGAGCCCCAGAGCCCACCCAGGTTAATGCCATCTTCTGATGTTGGTTTCATGTAGCTTTCATTGTGATTTTAAAATGTTGCCATAATGTTGCTAGTAGATTTGCTCACTGATGGTGCTGATGTTAGCCTGGTTATGGTTAATTATTTTTTGGAAACAATATTTATTTGACTGTACAATTTACTAACTTAAGTTTTTTTCTGAGACCCATGCATGATCAAAATGGATATTGTCATTTAAGATGTGTTAAATGTTCATTTATTTATATTTATTTTCTCAAGGGTGATCCTGGAGCAGATGGGCCTGCGGGTGAAATGGGCCCACCGGTATGTTTAATTTTGTTTTTTGATGCTTTGATCAGGTTTAGTAGGACATCATAAAGTTTTAATAATTTATTTATTAATAAATTAATTAAAAGTATTTTTGCAACCTTTTTACGAGCAAGCAATTTTTAACTTTGTTTAGTCAAACCACTTTCAAACATGTTTAAATTGTTGACTAGTGTGAATGGGTATTATAGTCTATAGTGAGCTAAGTCAATGGGCCCTAGTGTCATTGGTCAAATTGTACTTCAGTTAGCCTGACTGTATAATAATTTCTCCAGTGAGTCTAAAAGCACCTCGGTTAGCACTCTGCAATCAGTTAGCCTAAATAACACTTTGTCTGGCCTCAGCTCAATAGTGATCCATTTAGTCACAGTATGTAAAATATAGTACTAAGGTTAGCCCATCAAAGACAGACAGATTCAGTGAAAGTAATCATGGTAATATGAAAGACTCATTGACTCAGTAGTCATGAATGTAGCCTTATTTTGGTATTTTTATGGATTGATAAAAATATGTGTTTGATCAACAAAAATTAGAATTTAGATGATTTTTGGTATTTGTCTGAATGATGCTAGAACATCATAGTCAGCTTCTGCTTCAGTTTGCATGCTGTACATCTGATAAAAAGTTAACCAATTGCCTTTTTAGGGTTTGCCAGGTGCACAGGGACCCCAGGGACTGCGTGGTCAACCTGGAAATCCTGTAAGTACGGAATGCACCAAATATTTTACTGAGCATGATAGTGCCCTATACTGATAAACATTCTGACCATGAATATATAGTCAAGATGGAATCTGTGGCCTAAGTTTAGTTCTAAAAATATTCATCATATTCACCTTATCTTCATAAAACAAATCAGGTGTAGCATTTTCATTATCCCTCTATCTTCAAGGAAAAAATACATTTTTAATTAATTATATTTTGAATGAACACGTTTCATAAGAAATCTTTTAAGATTAAAAGAAAAGATTAAAAGTTGCACTCCAAATATTTTTTGACTTTTGATTACCACATAAACACTTAAATGTGTGCCTGATTTTCAGAAGTGATACCTGTGTTATTTCCTGCAGACTTGTGTGTGATATTACCTTACATATGTTTTGTTTGTCTCAGGGTCTTCCTGGCCCCGATGGACCCGCTGGAGAAAAAGGTGAAAGTGTAAGTGCAACAAAGTTATTGCTGGTGATAAAGTTTTAATTTACATGTAAGCCTTTCTGATGCCTCAGGTTTTGCTGATTGACTGTTTCAACATTTCATGAAACGAACGTGAAGTTTTGCATGATCTTTTTGGAATAACCCTGCATGGCCTGATACCCTGTAACAGTATAATTAATGAGTTTGAGTTGCATGCCAATTAATATGCATTTCTTAAACTCTTTCTCAGCCAATCTCAAATGTTGTAAATCTCTTTCATTAGACTGTGTTTATAATCATCTGTTTTCTGCAGGGTTCACCGGGACCCCCAGGACCTTCAGGACCACAGGGCGACCCAGGACCGAAGGCAAGACAATAGTGATCTTATAAACATTCTATTCTGTGAAATAACTTTGCAGAATATTTTGATGCAAAACCAGTCAACTCATTTATTCTTGCTTTTTATGTGACGTAGTCATATTCCAAAATTAGAAATTATCTTTCCTTCTGAGGTTTTAGTTTCATCAGATAAAAGACCCTATAGGAACATGACGTTTGACAATGTTT